TCTGCATGAGGGTCGCGATGATGGTAACGAAGCAGCCGATGGCCATGCCCCAGCGACGTCCGAGGTAGTCGGCCTGTGTTGAGAGGTTGTGTTAGTTCTGGCTCTAGTTGATACCACATTCGATGACATGAGAGGGTGCGCTTACAGTGGGACCACCGATGAAGAAACCGGCAACGATGGCGCCGATGGTGTAGGCGGTGTTTACGAGGCCGATGAGCTGAGTGTCCTTCTTGAGGTCGACGTCGACCCAGGCGAGCCAGTTCTTCGAGCCCTGAAGGGAGTTGAAGACGGAGGCATCGTACCCGTAGAGGACCATGCACATGGCCGCCATCAGGGAGATGTACCAGTTGTACACTCTTTTGCCGGACGGAAGACCCATCTTGGCGGACTCTGTTGTTGGTGAAGTTGCTAGAGAAAGATAACGACGCCCTGTGTGGTAAGAGGAGGGTGTTATCGACCCAGAGAAGAGAAACTGATTGAAGCAACTCCGGCAGAGAGGTGAAGAGCCGAGGAGGGAAGAGGAGGAGAGTCGTTCGATTCAGGAAGAAGGGGAGATGGGAGGTTGTCTTTAAAACCTTTATCTCAAAGGCGCACACCATACCACGCTATACCCGGTCTCTTTCTCTCACAAAAGTAACCTAAGCCGTTCAGATAGGGATCCCCGCAAGAGTTTAGATTTCCCCCAATCCTTTCCCCCAAATCCCCTCATCTCACACCCCCGGTCCCCCTCATTCCCCGGTCTGACTATCCGCCCAAAAGATGCTGGGCTTCGAACGAAGACGGCTGGCTGCCGCTACACTCGAATTAGATGGCGAGAAAGAAGAGCAACCAACCGAGAAAGGAGGAGGGATTCGGGCTGGCACCCGGCATCTTTCCCCATAATTGTCGAGGGCCCCAGGCCTAGCGCTGGTTCCGGGGGAGTGGAGAATGAGATGGGGGAGTTTGGATGGCATGGTTGGATGGTTGGATGGGTTTGGTTTTCTGCACACCGAATGCTGAGAGATACCTAAACTAGAGCCGGGTTTCTGTCTTGTTGCATATGATTATCCTTAGGTACATGTAGATCAAGTTCCCATGCTTGAGTCTGTCATAACCGCCAGGTAAAGGGCCGAAGACATTGTCAAATGTGATATCTCCAAACACTCTCTTCCGTTGCTTTCCAAGGCCTCTCTGTGTTAATTCCCTCTCTCATCAACTATGTCGTCCAAAGACAAGACAACCCAAGGAATGCGGCGACAGAACGAATCTCTTGGCGCCGCGCCGCGTGTGGCCCGCCGTGTCCGCCTCTCTTCCCCAGAGACCCCCAACCTTTTCAACAATCCTTGCTCGACTCTTGTCTCCGCGAAAGGGCCAAATGAGAAAGCTAGCCAGCCGGCTAGCTCATGGAGAAGGGGGGGCGTCTGAACCTGCGGAGAAACCCCCAACTTCTGATAATCCACCAATGGTAATTTCGCCTGGGGAATCGGCTTCACGTACGGATACGCCCTCCCTCAGTTCCCTCAGGACACAATTTCAACCACCGCGTGGAGGCTGGTCTGGGCAAACGCTTGTTTCCCTTCTTCTTCTCGACTATACTCGAACGAGTCCACACGTTCCCCGTTTCCCCCGTGGGCCGTGAGACTTGTTTGTGCAGTTTGCAGGCGGAGCTGCTTTCGAGTTCGAGAAGGAGGACAGTGACTTATGCGACTGACTGACAGCTAAGCCCGCATTATCGCACGTCCTTGACGCGTGCGCTTCTCGCTTCGAATGTCTACTGCGTAGGCAAGTGGATTTTGTTGCCGATGATGGCCCTTGGCGCTGCGCATGGCTGTCAACGTCTGTTGTCGGATTGCCGAGTCCCGTATCTGGACACGCCTATCCGTGGGGCCGGCTCTGTGTATCTCTCAGACTGCGTCTCTCCGTCGTTTTCAACATGTCTCTCGGTAGCGTATATCTCATATTGAGAACTACCGTCCATAACGAGATATCACCGATGAGATAACTCAACTGGCGCATGCAATGCTGAACTGAATCCGGTCGGCTCTTGAATCTTGCGCGCGCGGGCGACCGCGCCGCAAATTACCGCCCCCATGTCAAGTGCGTTCGAGCTTCCTCCTGTAATTCTGCCTATGAGAGGTTCGCATGTGAAGAGCAATGTGTTCTGTTACGCTAAAGTCTGTTGTCACCATATCCCGGCCCTTGGAAGGTAGACTTTATCTTGAGAGAGGGACCCATTTCTTTCTGCAGCCGTTCCCTACACGCGCAGGAGGCAAAAAGAAAATAGGCCCAGGCTTGCAGCCTTCCGCGCATGAGACGCCGGAGTCGTTCCGCTTAATCTCCAGCGTAAATGACATGAGGGCTGCTCCCGCGCCGTTTCCCTGTTTCCTTGACTCGCCATAGCAGTGACCAGAACTCTATCCCTGAGATTAGTCACTGCCATTCAAGGCATCTCAAGATACCTACGTAGAGGCGAAAGTTAAGAGGCTCAAAAGGAGACAACACAAGCTTCAGCCAGCGTAAGCCAAGAAGAATAGCAGCACACTTCCGTAGAATGCTGCCCTCCTTCGGCGATTATTTAAGAAACCATCAGACAGCCAAGCCTGGCCATTCCGCGATTCCCGCGTTGGCACTGCAAGCCACCCGGCGCCGCCAAGAAAACATCAAAGTTGAGCCGAGTATCTCAACTCCCTCGGCCATGTTCTGCGCTTTAGCTGCTGATGACAGCTTCTCGTGGACTCAGACTTTCGGTCCAAACACGACAACGGCAACCTACCGCTAGCTCAGTCCCAAGAGCCTGGGACCCAAGAAACGTGGCGAGTAATGCAAGGCCAAGATCACCTGTGCTATGAAGCAGTGAGCACCCATGACATCTCTTGATCGTTGGGAGAAACCCTCCATCCCATCGGCACAGATTCGGATACTCCAGGAAATTGTTCAAGAAATCAACCCATCCCCATCTTGGCACTAGCACCAACTGCCATCGTGACTCCAGGTCTCTCTCCGCTTCATCTCCCCCGGACCCCAGAAAACACCGTGCCGCAATCCGGAGTCAAAGAGGGCGCAAAAGTAGAGGAATAAAAATCGAACCACTGGAAAATCCGAAGTCCCCAAACCACACCTTGGGATATTTCAGCTAAGAGTAAGCCATGAACTATTCCAACCCGTCAAACGAGGCCTAAGGGGGCGGGGGACCCGCTCTCCCCGCGAACATGATTGATGGAAGAAATAAACATTCCCCAGACAGCCCCAGATGGGATGGGAAGGGGGGCAGCGACGACGCCGCGCCGCCGCCTCTTGCTCCTACACTAGGATCTCAAAGTCCACGACAGCATTTTGAAAGGATCTTGTTGGCGCGTTGGATGCGCGCACGCCCACGCTAAGCACCGAAGGCGTTGCCGCGGGCGGCCGTTCTCGCCAGGGTACTGCGGGTACCACCTGAGAGGACTGCTTGGGGGTTGTCTAGTCTAGGCTGGACTAGGATATGTACGAATAGGTAGTTTGTCGAGAAGGAGGTGACAACCCGACAAGAGGGATGTGTCAGTGAAGCCTCTTTTCGTCGACGAGTCCGAAATCTAGTCCTATATTCCTACGCGTTTCTCGCAATAGAGACTAGTGAAGCTGACGCATGCTGCGTGTCTGTGGCATGGTTGCCGTTCGTACCAGACAGATGCGGAGATGAAAGTGTGATAGGATGCCGAGAGCAGGAAGTGTTTGGCCAGGAGTAGCTGAGATGACTCTCGATCGTCGTGTTATGTGATTCCATTAGCTTACCGAGAGGACGGGACGGCGGTCTGAACCCAAGGCTACCTTACTGACCCTACGTGCCTCTGGAAACCTACCTCGTAGGCCGGACCCTAGCATCGTTCTCGGACTTCGGCACCGGTTGCACACCAACTCTGGTCGCATGACGGGAGGGAGGGTATGGCTGGCTCGATCAGGGCTTCTTCCTTTTTTCATGTAGTCATTTGGGAAGAAGCTGAGCTACTATGGCTTGCGAATGCTCGCGTGACCAGTTTGAGAGAACTGGACTCGCGTCGTTCTTGTTCTCAGCGCTTGAGCTATGCCACAGCGCAGCTGGTTCTTGTCTCCTTTCTGCTTGGAATAATCTGCTTTCCTACCGTCTTTCAAAACATCTTACTAAACTTAAGCAGGTCAATGTTACTAGACACTTCTACGAAAGCCCCCTCGGTCATTCGTCAACGGACCCCCTATTCCAAATTCTCATGCAAAAATCCAAACGACAACGAGTCTCTCCCTTTGAAAGTACGTCCCGACTCACGATGGACCCGACAACTTTCCAGACAATATAATCACCACGCTTAAGCCTCCAAGCCTACCTATACATAAACTAGACAAACAGCAAAGGATACGTTCGATACCTCTGGGTCCGAAGACGCGCTAGATTCCATCACGACTTGATGCTTTTCTGAGAGTCATACTTCGTAATGGAGGAGCGTCTAGTCGAAGCACATACGCTATGCGTGTCTAGTACGCAGCGAATTGCCGTCTTGATAGCTTCGCTTGGAGCTCTGTATCTTCTGCATACAGTGAGGGGTCCAGACATACCTCAGCCTCGAGATCGTATCCGCGATTTGACATCTGCATGAATGCCTGAAGCTGGTATCGCCGTATCACCATATCCTACCAAGACTCTGACTTCAATGTCAGCCTCCTCAGTATCTGAGTTCCAGATTATCTTGAAAAGGGGAGCCGATGATATTGGCTTGGAAACATGCTGTGAGAAAGAAAGTGAAGATAACCGGCAATGACAGTGGTAGCAACGAGGCAAGAAGATGGACCTACGAGCCATGTATGCCCACATGGCCCCTGACTGTGCCTCCCGGGCAATACGCTAACACATGGGTCATTTGACATATCGGAGTAAACCATGATACTTGATCGCACTTTGATGCTGAATGTCGCTGAGGACAACTTGCTGTTGATACGGGATACAGTGAATCTATCCTAATTCGCTTGGTCCAAAGCCATCCAAGTCGTCCATCATGCAAGAAACCATGATCCTAAGCGGCAGTATCAATCGTCCGACTGGTCTCATTGATCGCTAGGTTGGCCAAGCCATTGACACCAGCCTCTTCATTGACCGCCTCCTTGCCCTTCTTCGAGGCGGTCTTCTTCTTGCGTTTCGCAGTCCCGAGGCTGACCGGCGGCGCCTCGATGATCCATTTCGCAATGGCTGCTGCACGCTCAGTGAGTATAGGATACTCCCGTCCATCGTCAACACTCCAACGACGTAGCGCAGGAGAGAGTTCATTAGTCTCGGACCTTCCATTCGAGCTATTCTTCAAGCTCATGAGGTACTCGTGATCCTCCTCTGAGCGCTTCTGACGAGCGGTGATGGCTGCACGAAGGGTAACTTCGTCAACAACTCTATCGTCATCAAGCGCGTCCATGATGGCCTGCTGTCGAACTCTCTCCTTCCGCTGCTCCTCAGTCTCGCCAATGTCTGGCAACGTGCTGGCGTCCCTCGTTATGGCAGCGGCTGCGAGGGCAGCGGCTTTATGAGATGAATGGGAACTGTCCTGCTGCACGCCAACTGGTCCATCAAGGACCGGGAGCGGCGCTGGAGCACACAAAAGTTCCCAAGAAGCACTCATTTGGATCCAATTCTCTGCCCGGCGCAACACCTCAATCCAGTCTGCCCTCGCTGGGGACCTACTAGCCTGGAAGAGCGGGTAGCCGTCAGCAAGTCGAGCGAGACGGGCGACCATGTGTGCGTGGCGTAGAAGCTCCTTGGTAGAGGTCTGTACCAAGCAATGGCAGAGCAGTAGAGAATGGAGGGCCTCGGTCAGAAGTGGATGATAGGTAATAGTCTCATAGTTATTCGGCTGTACGGGCCCTGATGAGCGGACCAAGTCCTGGGAAGGGTACGGCGGAATGTCTGCAGGTGGAACGGCAGCAAATAGCTCGGACAAGGCAAACGCCTTGTAGGAAGGGATGCTACCCGAGTCCGGAACACGAGGATGACGGTAACCCTGCGCCGCGAGATTTACTTTTTCAGTAAAATCCCGGGCGACCTTCAGCGGTTGATCCGGCGTGTAGTGGAAGTTTGACAGATAGGCCATGTAGTCCCGGAGTGCTTTCTTAGCGTATGTCTTCACCACTTTCCGTTTCTCCAGCCGAATGTGCGCTGCCTCCTTGTCCAGCGCCGTGGTTTCGGGGCTCTGCCCATCAGTTTTGCCTGAGTTGATAGATCCATTCGCTCCACTCGCCTGACCAGTCTCTCCGTTCGCAGGAGTGTCAGGCAGACTAGCGGCTACATGCTGGCAAGCAAGAGTCAAGTACGCTCCAGCTCTTTGGAACAGCAGCTGTGTTTCCAAGCTACTAGGTTGCTGGTCCTCGGTGAGGATGATATCGGGACTTCTTCTGGATCCTGTTGTCAACTCGACTTCTCGGGAAAGCGGTGCTCCATGTGGTGGCTGGTGATAGCGGTGCACTTGCAGCGCAAGGCTCAAGTCCGAAGCCGCCCCTAGGTAGTCATCCTTGAAGATCCGAACAGTCGCTCTAGTTCGTAGAGCCTCGGCTTCGGTCGGATGCGCTGATATGATGTTGTCCAAAGGCGCTAGACTAGTACACTCGGCCAGCTGTCGCGAGGGTATCTTCTCGTGGAAGAAGTGAACGTATTTCGCATCGGGATCATCTCTGCTGCGTTGCAACACTAGGGAGCCAATTTCCTCGAGAGTCGAAGCACCTTGCATGGTAGCGACACTGCAAGCGATTTCGTCCAGACGATATGCGCGGGCGAGCTTCTGGCTTGCCTGCTCTCTCATGCGAAATTTCCGCTCTTTGCTCAGTTTCGTACCGTGACCATTCCCCACGCCGAAGCCCAACGACGACATGTGTCCGTTAAGCCCGCCATGTACGTTCGTCAAGGTTGGTGTTGCGATGTCGCTAGCAGCGCGGACAGCCAAGTTAGTTGCTTCATCGACTAATCTGCGAATCTTGAGAAGGTCAAAGAAGACGGCGGGGTCGATCGGACGGGGTACCGGGGTATTGTAGTTGATGTTCGCAATTGTTTCGAGGATCTCAATGGGCATCTGTAGCCATGGGCCGTGGAAGGAAGAAATGAAGCGCCAATGCCTGTCGCGCAATGTGTCAGCGAGCTGTGATCCATAGTAGAGTATCAACATTCATGGGAGCGCAGCGCACACTGCGCTGGTCGCTCATGTTCTCTGTCGCAAATGCAAGACTAGGGAAGATGGCAAAAGGGGAAACAGACTTGTTGCGACATATTATGAGCGCAGGAGCAGTATCGGGCGCCCCGTTGGCCGATCGCCTGGAGCCTGAGTCCTTGGATGAGCCATTGGAAGAGGATTGCGATGCGCTCTCACTAGACACGCCGTCGCCAACATCTTCTACTGTTGTCTGCTTGCCCTTCTTCTTTGCCATTATCTCTCGCGCAAAATAAGGCGGCTTTGTTGCGAGAAAAAATTATGGCGGCGCTGTCAAGTCGGGAAGCACAAAAGCAAATGATGGTCGACCAGTTTCCCTTGAATTACAAGGTAGACTGGACTCGAGCGATGATGAAGGTGGGGAATTATCGTCCAATTGATATTGAGCTCATGGTAGCAAATCTGTTTATTCCGATGCGAGTAATCTCGTGTGTCTCGTGTGTGGTTGTCGTCGACAAAATCTTGAATTGCTACCGTTCCTGCGCGAGGTGCGCGACTGCTTGGCCGCCGCTTTCCTTCCATTATTTGTCCCTGAACAAGTTCGATCCTTCCTTCCCTCGACACATCGAGGGGCACCCGGAAAGCTCGATTCACGTGATGGGTCTCGCGGTAACGTGACGGATAAGATAAGCATCCTGACCGTATCGATTAGATTGCACCTTATCTACCTTAAGGTACCTACCTAAGGTAAGGTACCTGTGGTACCTACCACACCGTGCTCACCTTGATGTTGCGCCCAACTTACACCAAAACTCCGATCCGAAACTGGGTACGATATCTGGAATTCATCAGCGACGTCCGTTAGACGATCAGATAGACACATGATTTAATGAATTCGGATCGCCCCTGCTGCCGAGTGGCTGGCTACTCATCTCCAAACGCTACCCGTAGCATGCACCTGTCCAGCTCAAGGCATCTTCGGTCTGAAGATGTTTCATCTCAACACGGGATTCTGGCATGGCAGCTGTCGAAGCTGATGAGGGGCAAAAGTTTGGTGTTCGGACCCAAAGCCCAACCGAGCTCCGATGGCATCTTACAAGGCAAATCTATTGTCATTGCTGTACGCTTGACGCAGGAGACCGAATGCGTCGGCCGTGCTTGTCTCGGGGGACCGGGCTCATCACCTATACGCCTCGCATCTGCATCGCCAAAGTTTGGAGGATCTTGCTGTCACTGTCACACTTTCAGATGAGGTAAGTGGTGTCTCATTGAGCTTTGAAACTAAGTAGGAACTTCTGCCCTCGTCTGCTGCGCCAAGCCCCCTCCCACGATTCTTGGATTCACGGACCTAGCTGCTGGTGTTAAGTCCTGTTTGCTGGCTGGAGCCATTCCTTGCCATCGATCGTGGTCGTCAACGTACCGTTGGCTTGGAAGATGTTCGTCAGGATATCAATGGTCAACCGGAAGCCGTCAGGGCTGGTCTTCTTGGTTCCATTGCTTGGCCCCGTCTGGACAAGGTCCGAGTACCAGTCAATCTCCTCCACCGTCGGACTCGGGTTCACTGAAGTGACCTTCTCGGATCCTACTAGCACGTTTGCGCCGTCATCAGAGTAGTTGTGATACTCGACGGCTACAGTTCCCGGCAGACCACCTCCACTATTCGGGGTGATGGTTACGTTTGCCCAGCCTCTGACCTTGCCCTTGAGGGTGAAGTTTCCGTTTGTCGGGAATGGCCTCTCCGGCGCGTGAGTTCCAGGCACGTATGGAGTTGCCCAGGGAATGGTGTCACCTAGAGACTCGATAGAGGGCGGTGTGAGAGGCTGCCGGCTTGTTAGATGAGCTAGCATCATGCGCTCGGTACGACCTCCGGGTGCCGTTGATGGATAGCATGGCAGAGGGTTCTCCCCTCCACACTCGGGAAACACGGTCAGGGCCTGGTAGTACACAATACGGGTACCATCATTGGACCATTTCGGGTCGGCGCGGCCGTTCCATTCGGGATCATTGATTGCGCCACTTCCGGGGATACCACTCCCCTCGGCATTGAGTTGTTGCCCAAAGTACGAACCACGGTCACCATGACCATCGATGAGCCACGGCTGGAAGAATCGACGCCCCTGGTTGTTTCTCGTTGATGAGGCCGCGCTCGCGGAGACCAAGTCTGTCAATGGAGGAATGCCGCGTAGACCCGCCATGAACATCTGGCGTCCACTACCACGGGTGTCCATAGCCACGGTCCATTGGTCATCTGGAGATACGTCGACGGGATCCGTATACTCTGGGTGAGCAGTCAAGCGCCGAACCTTTCCAGTGATGAGATCGGCAGCAAAGACATCAATGTTGGACGACTCGGCGGGATACCCAATGTATGTGACTTCTTTGCCGGTACCGCTGAACCCGCGAAGCTCTCCAACAGTGATCGCATCATAGTTGATCCGGAGCAGAGAGCTGTCCTCCGGGTCAATCTCGACCGGCTGCTTATTGTTTGTGCTAAATAACAGATTGACATTGGCCAGATCATAACGGGGCACAAGTGGCTCGCCAGTTGTCGGTGCTTTGGTGAAAGCCAGCCTTCCTATATATGCGAACTGGCTGACCTTCCCGGACGTGACGGTGAAAGAGTTAAAGCCGAGATGCTCGTTGCCGGGATGGATGCGCAACTCGCGAATGGTACCGCCGATTCCTGACCCATTCACGGCCGTGTTCCATCGGATTGGGTAGACGTGGACTTGGTCCGGAGTGCAAGCTTCGCTAACAAGCTCAGCCGAACACTCGATGATTTGCGGTCCAGCAAGCAGGCGTTTGCCGTCCTTGAAAATTTGGGGATAGTCGAGCGGCGCAACAAGTACAGCCTGGTCCTCCGCAGATACGCCGCAAGTAATACACTTCCACGCATCACCGTTCGGAAAAGTGCTGTTGTCGATCTTGACAATGATCAGCTGTGGGCCGTTGTATACGCTCGCCGGGTCGGGCGATGCGGGGGCGCCGGTGAAGTTCACCGTCGCTACAACGTGGAGATCATCCGGCAGGAAATCTCCGTTCTGAAGAGCGGGAGATCTCCCGATACACCCGGTGCCGCGGGGGTTGATCTCCAGAGTACATCCTCCGACACCCTCGTCCGCGGTGACAGGGGGTAGAGGGAGCTCTGTGATGGTGATTGGCTCCGGCGCGGGAGGAGGCGGGACGTCAGCTTCCCGGTTCGCGATCTTGGAGTTTTCGGTACTGAAGTCATTGCTATCGGTATGTCTGCCGAAACGGGCCTGGTCTTCATGTTCGTCCGCCGGTGCAGCGTACGCAACGCTCGCGGCGCAAAGAATGCCAGTCAAGGCAGAAGTGAGACGCATCTTGAGGAACTTCTCAGCGACGCCTGTGAGAGATGGCACCAGAAGCTGCACCAGAAGGTGAACTAGACCAAGGAGGAATGTAAGACGAAAACAGCTTCTTATGAGCATCTACGGAACCGTGAATTTCTCATCTTGCCAAGAGATCACCCTGTAACCTGATGTCCCGGCGGAAGACCCATCCCGCGGAAACAACAGGAAGATCTCGCCTACCAGGGCCTCAGATGCACAAAGGCCGGCAGTCCAAGCTTGACGAGGACGCAAGACCAAGGCAAACTGCGCCGTCTCCCGAGGTGTTAAGCGCCGATCTCAAAGCTTGAATATTCGTATGTATTCCGAAAATTCGGGCCGGGGCGGGTCTCTGCTATACGCGGAACGGAAGTCTCGAATACGGCGAATACGGCGGGGGAGGCGGGCTATACGCGTGGACATCCTTGGCTGCGCATATGTATGGATGATGACGATGGACTGCTAGATCAATTTGGAGTGAAATTTTGAGCAAAATTGTACCACGTCGTAGGGATACTCCAGTATTCGACGCGAATGTGACGAAGTACGTTACAACCGTCCGGCACTATCCTCTCTTGACAACTCATTGCCGCAGCGCAAGGCTGCACTCATAGGGTCAAGGCATGGTATGCCTATAGAAACCAGTCAAGCCCGCTGCGATGAGTAAACCAAGTTGAGGGCACCTTGTCATTCGTACCCAGTTGACATGACAACTTCGGCTGATGCGAATGAGTCCGATCTCTTGATTGACTAATCTCTCAACCTGGCTCTGAAAAGCCCGACTACGTTGCAAACATCGTCACAATGCAGTAGAAAACAGGGCCATTCTGATCCACGAGACATTGTCCTCTAGCACTATGATACAAGTATGTACGTGAAGTATTGATTGCTTCTTTCAGAGTAAAGCTGTAATAAACACCGAAGTCTGCAGGCCAAGCAACCCTTCCGTGGCAACCAAACCCCCATCAACCATCTCCCAAGCAACATTGCCCCAAAGCACCTCAACAACCTCGCCAACCTCCACTCCATCCGGCAAAACAACTCTGATCTCGCCCGAAATCTCATCATAACTCAGATTGACCACACTGACAAGCACCTGCTTCTTCGCTTCATCAACCCATACCGCCGCATCAACCCTCTTCGCACCCTCAACAGCAAGATCCTGCGTCCTCTCCGTGCCAAGCAAGAACTCTACCGCAGCTTCGTTAGTAAACACACCAGCCAACTTGCTCGTCAGACCCTCCAGCTCCGGCGTTGCCGGGTAATTCCACATCACGATGCCCTTTGCGCCGTGGTTGACCGACAACACCGTCATGACAACCTCTTCCTCGGCGGTCGGGTACCGCGCCCAAAAGGTCTCGTTGCCAAATGCCTGCGGTGCAAACCACTGCGTCTTCTGCCATCCCAGGATCTCATCTCTACGGTAGAACTCGTCCAGTCGCACAGAGATATCCTCAAAATTACCCTCGCAGTCGTCGCAACCGCAGCACCCGTACGTGGCATTACACTCGGTCCCATACACCGTCGAAAACGTCGCGTTGATGGCGACGGGGTAAACGTCGCTCATGATGATATCCGCGCCGGCGCCGTACTCGGCGTAGTGAAAGTCCCAGCAGTTGAGCGCGAGGGAGACCGGGTGGTACGGGTCAATCGCCTTGATCTGCCCGTACGCCATCCCCGTGGAGTTGGCCGGGTTCGCCTTGCCGTCGGCCTCGTCGCTCTGGTACCACAGCAGGATGGACGGGTGAGTGCGCAGCCGGGTGACCTGGTCGACCATGTTTGTGAGGTTCGGCCAGGTCCATAGGACGTCGTAGCGCAGGTAGAGGCCCAGCTCGTCGGCCCGCTGGAGGTAGGGCTCGAATTCGTCCCAGGGGAAGGGGATCTCGCCGAGGCTGCCTGTGGGCACGATGTGGATTACGTTGTAGCC